CAGTGACTCTGGCGTCCCAGAGTCACCCCCCTCCGTCCCTCACTCAACTCAGCCCAGCTAACTGACCTTTACATCCCTCCTGCTGCTGAGGTTGCTCCTTCCTCGTAGTTCACATGTGACCTAACCACAATCTAGCAATCTCTCCGCAACCAAACCATACGCGCCAACCCGTTTGACTAAGGCTGTCGAGCCCCACTGTCTTCGTTAAAGTAGGTTCAGTGGCTGTGGTTCCGTATGGCATACTACCTACCGCAAAACACAATATCTGCCCAAACACCAACCCTCATTCACGCAATATACACAGGAACGTAATAACTGTAATTACTATGAAAACTATACAAATAAACCAACAGACTCTTCGAGTTTTTCAAGAATTCTATGAAACCGTAGCGTGGCGGCCTGTATACAGCCAGCTAGAATCTTTCCGTCTCAACCACAGCGAGTTGCTGCTCCTCTCTGCTGCTTCAGATAAGCTCTTTACTGTGCGACGCAACTCTTGGCCACTGAATCCGACGTCTCTGAGGAACCGGGTTGTAGAGTGTGCCACAAATCCTCGACAACCCACTTCCACTGGATAAACCTGGACTCTCCATCCTCGCTGTTCTGCTTCAGTGGCCAGATGAGCATACCGCAGTTTCTTCCTCTCATATGCCTCATCTACCGCATCCTCCCATGGCACTGTTAACTCTATCAGTTGAACAATGCGTGCTGATACAGACCACAAAACAATATCTGGTCAGAGGTTAGTGGTGGAAAAATAAGCCGTTGATCAAGATCAGCCAGCATCTTCGAGTCCCTAGCAGCTTCCAGTTGTCCTGGGCGAGAATTGGTGTTAACACCTTTTCTTGGTGGTTGCTCGCCTGGGCAGAGGAATATTGTCTTCTGTGTGTAATGTTTTGCTAGAACAGGTGGCAACTTACTGGTCATGTTACGCTTGCCTTCCAATCAAGGTGGGAAATTAACTTTTTTGCCTACCAGCCACTTATATTTTTTACCAGCCACTTTTTCCGGAATTCAAATTTATAAAGTATTATTATACACAGTAAGTACAGTGCATGGACTGGTCGTCGGGGAGGTAGGCTAACCATTCCCTCGTTTTCCCTTTGTCATCAATGCACCACTTGTTCGAAAAGTACCTTCTCTTTTGATTTACTTCGCCCTAAACAGTTTGTACATTCATAGCTACTGCTGACTCCGTGGCGGGCCTCTTAACATCGGGTTTATAGCGCCAAATTTTTGTAATTTTCCTTTCGTCTGTACCTCAGCTCAGCTATATGTGTCACGGTCCGTTCAGCGCCGTGTCCGTGCGCTGTGTCCGTGACGCACAGCGCTGAAAACCAATCAAATTAGTTACTCGGCAAAAGTGCATTATTGTTACTTAGCAACAGAATTCTTTGACAAAAGCTGTCCAATCCGTTACAAGGAATGTCTTAAGTAGTAACCAATAAAAATATATTTTACATACAATCTACCCGCCACTGTGGCTGGTATACAAGGCAAAGTCACCCGCCACTTTGAAAAAGTACCCGCCATTGGCTGGTGGCTGGTGCTAATTTCCCACCCTGCTTCCAATGCTAAAGCCAAACATCGCAGTACTTGGTCATGGCGCCAAGTAAACCGACCTTGGCTAAGAGCCACCTTACATCCTGTCAAAATGTGCCTTAATGTGGCAGGTGATGAACACACAAAGGACAAGAGGGATCCTCTCCTACCCAGAGGTTTAGGTTCTGCGGTGATGGGAGAACATCATATGTTGACCTGATAAGGAAACTGATCCTACTCTCGTCCATTGACCAAAGGTCTTGCCAGCTCATCTTGCGTTGTTCCACACTCTCCCATCTCATCCATCTCTTTACTATGAAGTCCCACTCTGCTGATAATGTTTATTTATTTTTTGTCTGAAGGATTATATTGCTCATTGCACATAACAGGAGGATGTTGGTTAGAAGTCTATTATTAAATGCAAGATATTCAGAATATGCTATAGTTTGCATTCATTTACTACAAGTATGCTACTTCAGGCACACATTTCTTTTCCTGTTGGTTCTTTGCAGTGTTGGGACATATGCTGGCAAATGTAACCTTACAGTTGACTTCGCCAAATCACTTCCATTTGTTTTATTAATAAAAGATATTGGAAGTAAATTATTTATGGGTCATTATAAATAATTTGCTTTAAAAGTACCACACACACAAAAAAGATGCATCGGTAATCGTTTTAGCATCGCATCCCAGCCCTCTGAATCGTATCGAATCGTGAGGTGCCTAGAGATTCCCACCCCTAATTTGTATGCATTTGTTCTAAAATGACTTCATAAAGGGACAGTTCACCCAAAAATTTAAATGTTTGGCATCACTTACTCACCCTCAAGTTGTTCCAAACCTGAGTTTCTCTCTTCTGTTGAACTGACAAAATACAAATTGTTGGGTGAACTTTTTTTAAATTATATATATATATATATATAGTAGATTTCAGAAAATACAGAGAGTTTTTTTTACAGATAGGCATTGCTACAAGTTCAAATCAGATGATTTCCGTGAACTGTTAGTTTCAATAAACTGATTAAAAAACTGGATCTATCAATTCGTTCCATCACTGTAAAATTTTAATAGATACGGAGATGCGAAAATACAGGAAAAATCAAAGAATTTTTTTCATAATTTTTTACATTATTTTATTGTGGTTTAAATCAGAGATACTATTGAAATGGAAAGTATTACCGTGTCTTTATGGTACAATAATCGCCTTTGAATCATGTAGATATGTTATTGGTTAATTTTATATTATCAGTTTAATGTTGAATTATCGAAAATATTTTAATTTGCATTTTCAAGTTACCTTTATTTATATAGCGCTTTATACAATACAAATGGTTTCAAAGCAGCTTTACAGTGATAACAGGAAAAGGATTCAATGATGCAAACATAGTTCATTTCATTGGCTGTCCAGCAGCTCTAAAAGAAAATAGTGTCATCATCGTTCAGCTGAAGTCAGTCCAGTCAGTGTTGATTCAGTTCCGTTTTAAAGATAAACAATTATTAAATTAGTTCATTTCATCTACCTTATCTCTCATCTACATTACCTGTCTGCATTAAAAAGTGAACATTCTCTATTTCTCTATGAAAGGATTAATCCAAACCAGATCTGAACGTTCTAACAATAACCATAACTAAAATTCAAAAACGCCACAAACGCTCACAGCTGCCATGTGTTGTCTAAAATGTCCTTAAAATGTTCAGCATCTCCTGTCTGACGTCTTTCTCTATGCTTTGCTGTTATTAGGCCGTCTGATGTGAAACGAGTGTTTGAGCACCAGTAAGGATACTAGCCTCTTTCATGTGCGCCAGAACAGAAAAATGGACACTTATCTCGCTTTTAGTCTGGCAGCTATTTTTGGTGGTCATGGGGTCTTACTCATAAGTGTTTGTGAGTGTTTGTCCTCTGGGTTTAAAGTCTGAGTCTGTGTGTTTTTGCATGCAAATATAGAGTTAGGCCTACTTGTATTTCTGATGATTTCTGGATTGGTTCTAAAAAAAAAAGATCCTAAATATTAATGCATGAAACACTTTGTTTGCCCCAAAATGAGAAATGACTGAGGGTCAGGGTCAGTGACTTGCTGGCTGCTAGCTGGTGATTGAACAGACCTGGATAATAAGTGTTAGGGCTGTACATACTGTATATAGAAACTATCGAAATATCGCATATGTACATATCGCAATGACTTGCGATAACTGCATTTTTTAAAAATTCTCCATAAAATTACAAAAAGTCAAAGTTTTAGACTGGACAGATACAGGACTGTTACATACGTGTGACATGCTTAATGTTTATTGGGCGCAATAAGCGAAGTACTCGCGCACACAGGAAGCCGCCTCTCGGACAGCAAGTAATCCCTATTTCAGTTCTCTTCCACAGCTTAGGCTATATGACCAAATACACACAGAATTATGTCAAAATGTCTTGAGTATTCACGTATATAACAGTTAGTTATTTCATAAGTGGACTAAACAGTTGAGAAAGAAAGCACGCATGTAACATTATATTGAATCCGTTCAGCTCTTAAAGTGACAGCAGCCTAATAAACCTGCTTCTGTCTGTGTGCATAAATGTTAATCAAATAACAATAGACAAAGAGAAAATCACTCACTGCTTTTGCCTGAATAACTTTTCTAACTTCAGTGTATTTAATTCATACTGTGAAGAAGACTAAGCAGTGTTTTATTTATTTTACATTTGATCATTACATTTCTGTTGGAAAATAAATCTAATATAGGCCTACCTGAAACCCTAATCCCCCTGGTTTACACTGACGTTAAAATGACGTGTGAAATGAAGAATGTGTAACATATGATGTTTTATCATTTTCAGCTTCTAAATATATTAGAAATTTATTTCACACACTTAAAACATTATCATATCGCAGATCGAATATCGCATTATTTAACCAGTTATCGCATTTTTCGTCAATATTGTGCAGCCCTAATAAGGGTGCAATCGAAATTTCCATGATGGTCAGCAGCTCTGAAAGTACGAGATCACATATTTTAGGTTGCTGTCTATAATTTTTTTTTAATGTGTATATATATATATGTTTGATGTATTGTATGAAGTATTACACAAATAGGTGGAAATGTAGGCTACATTTCGTTTCAGATGTTGCGATTTGCCAATTGTGGCTTGAGGTAATTAGCCTTAATATGTCTTGCTTCCAATATTGTCCAATTCAGATTAATAGTGGTAATAAATAAATAAAAACATGTGGGCTAATACTAATATAATAGTGTATTTTCATTAACCTGAAGGAGAGTAGAGCAGATGTTAGATGGTTTTCAGAGACTTGTTTCCAGCACAATGGTCCAGGAATGAGCCAAGAGCTCGTCAAACACTCTTTTAGATGAGCGAAACCAAAGACAGGTGTGCAGCTCGTCTCCTGCCAGACATCCGTTTCTTATTGTCTTTTTGTCTTTCTCTCTGCTATCTATCCATCATCTCCCCTCAGATCTGTCACGAAACCGGTTGACGGAGCTGCCGGTGGAGGTGTGCATGTTTGTGTCGCTGGAGAATTTGAACCTGTACCAGAACTGCCTTCGTTCAGTACCAGAGAGTCTGATCAACCTACAGTCCCTCACCTACCTAAATATCAGGTCAAATCCATAGACACCACATTTATAACATACTCAATTTTGTAAATCATTGATATTGAACAATTTTAAATGTTTGATACAACAGCTAAATGCTAGCAGTGTGTTACCACAAGCTAAAAATGCAAAGACGCACACAACTTTTGTTTGTATCTCTTTAATTTGATTTGTTCGTGTCAAAAAATCAAATCCATTTGTTCTTATAAATTATGATTTGAGAAGATTCTGAGATTTTCAACCATGCATTATTTTGCAATTCTAAAAAAAAGCTTCCAACCATCTAACAAGGAATTCTTTGTAATTGACTTAACTCACCAAAGCCATATTTTACTGACAGTTGGTGCACAGCAAGAGAGACATAGAGATGTGGGCTCTTTTGACCAGTAAGAAACCACCTAGCAACCACTTATTACAATATTATTTATATACTGTTATAGTATGTTCATATTTTCATTTTTTGGTGAATTATCTCTTATATATATATATATATATATATATATATATATATATATATATATATATACACTCACCGGCCACTTTATTAGGTACACCTGTCCAACTGCTCGTGCAACTGCTGGTGAATTATCTCTTATTTATATATATATATATATATATATATATATATATATATATATATATATATATACACTCACCGGCCACTTTATTAGGTACACCTGTCCAACTGCTCGTTAACACTTAATTTCTAAGCAGCCAATCACATGGCGGCAACTCAGTGCATTTAGGCATGTAGACATGGTCAAGACAATCTCCTGCAGTTCAAACCGAGCATCAGTATGGGGAAGAAAGTTGATTTGAGTGACTTTGAATTGGCATGTGGCGTGATTGTTGGTGCCAGAAGGGCTGGTCTGAGTATTTCAGAAACTGCTAATCTACTGGGATTTTCACGCACAACCATCTCTAGGGTTTACAGAGAATGGTCCGAAAAAGAAAAAACATCCAGTGAGCGGCAGTTCTGTGGGCGGAAATGCCTTGTTGATGCCAGAGGTCAGAGGAGAATGGCCAGACTGGTTCGAGCTGATAGAAGGGCAACAGTGACTGAAATAACCACTCGTTACAACCGAGGTATGCAGCAAAGCATTTGTGAAGCCACAACACGCACAACCTTGAGGCGGATGGGCTACAACAGCAGAAGACTCCACCGGGTACCACTCATCTCCACTACAAATAGGAAAAAGAGGCTACAATTAGCAAGAGCTCACCAAAATTGAACAGTTGAAGACTGGAAAAATGTTGCCTGGTCTGATGAGTCTCGATTTCTGTTGAGACATTCAGATGTTAGAGTCAGAATTTGGCGTAAACAGAATGAGAACATGGAACCATCATGCCTTGTTACCACTGTGCAGGCTGGTGGTGGTGGTGTAATGGTGTGGGGGATGTTTTCCTGGCACACTTTAGGCCCCTTAGTGCCAATTGGGCATCGTTTAAATGCCACGGCCTACCTGAGCATTGTTTCTGACCATGTCCATCCCTTTATGGCCACCATGTACCCATCCTCTGATGGCTACTTCCACCATGTCACAAAGCTCTAATCATTTCAAATTGGTTTCTTGAACATGACAATGAGTTCACTGTACTAAAATGGCCTCCACAGTCACCAGATCTCAACCCAATAGAGCATCTTTGGGATGTGGTGGAACGGGAGATTCGCATCATGGATGTGCAGCCGACAAATCTGCGGCAACTGTGTGATGCCATCATGTCAATATGGACCAAAGTCCCTGAGGAATGCTTCCAGCACCTTGTTGAATCTATGCCACGAAGAATTGAGGCAGTTCTGAAGGCAAAAGGGGGTCCAACCCGTTACTAGCATGGGGTACCTAATAAAGTGGCCGGTGAGTGTGTATATATATATATATATATATATATATATATATGAGATAATTCACCCAAAAATGAAAATTCTCATCATTAACTCACTCTCATTCCATACCTGATGTATATTACTTACTTTCTTTAGATAAACACATCCATGATGGCATGAGAGTGAGTAAATGATGAGAGAATTTTCATTTTTGGGTGAACTAACCCTTTTAAACTTACTAGAAATGTTGCATGGCAACAAACCAAAATAAAATATGTTAAAGTATTAAAATGACTAAAACTAAAATAAAGCTAAATAGAAATATGAAAAAACTACAATTACAAAAGCGCAACAAAATTACTAATACGTTAAAATTAAATCTAAATCTAAATTTTTTATGGTTTTAGTTTTAATTAGAACTCTCTAGCAACCACAAATTGGTATCACTGACATTCACAGGAAGGTTTCACTGACATTTTCTTATATCTAGTTTTTGGGCCCTGCAGGTTTTAATTCCCATGATTCTCATTTTCTCTCTGCAGTCGGAATCAGTTGTCCACTCTCCCCGCTCATTTGTGCCGACTGCCGCTCAAAGTTCTGATCGCCTGCAATAACAAGCTGGTATCACTGCCGGAGGATCTGGGCAAACTCAGACAGCTCACTGAACTGGTGTGTGGAACAGTTCTCTCTGGAACAGTTCTCTCTGAAACTCTGTAGTTGATCTTCACATTTTGTCTCACTCATGCACATTACTCTGTCTCTCTCTCTCTCTCTCTTCAAGGACGTCAGCTGTAATGAGATTCAGACTCTTCCTCCACAGATCGGTCAGCTGGAAGTTCTTCGTGACCTCAACATCCGCAGAAACCACCTCGTTCGCCTGCCTCCTGGTCAGAAACACAGGCACCTGCACCTGTATGAAATGAGTGATGTTTTCTAGTAGATGCGTTGTGTCATTTCTGTGTTGATTTGGTTTGCAGAGTTGGCTGAGCTGCCATTGGTCCGGCTCGATTTTTCCTGTAACAAGGTAACGACAATCCCTGTATGCTACCGAAATCTCAGACACCTTCAGAGCATCATTCTGGACAACAATCCTCTGCAGAGCCCACCTGCACAGGTAACGCATGTCCCTGTTTTGATCCACATTAAACATCCTGTTTTACTTAGAAATAGGGCACTTTTTACGATTTATAAGATTTTTTTTTCACTAGTTTTTTTCACTAAGTCACTAGTTATTTTCTATATCACTAAGCAATGTTTCTGAACTCCCTGAAACTCCTCGATTAGGGCTGGGCGGTATGGCGATACATATCGTAGTGACGGTATAAAATGTGTTTCGTTACAGATTTCGCTATATAGTGTATATAGCGTGTATCGTGTATGTATGTAAATATACGCGTATTACAGCAATATTGAAACTTTAGAATGATGAAACGCATGAATGAGCCAATAAAGAGCGGGACGAGCATGATGTTAAAAAGAGTTAAGCTGTAAAAAAGAACTATGCGGTGCTTGCGCTGACAGACACACACCGTAAGCTTGCGCGCGTCTCTCAGCATGTGATCGCGAATTCAGTTTTCTGTCATGGCTTATTGTGCTCAATGGCCGAATACACACACGATGATGTCAAAATACCCATCTGGTGGAGTATTCACAGTCAGTAAACACAGTCGATTATATCTCAAGTGAAAGTAAACAGTTGGGTGAAACCCGATGTGTATCAGTATAAAGGATCCGTGCATTCGGTCTTAAAGTGACAGCAGCCTAATATACCTGCTGCTCTCTGTGTCGTTAAAGGTAATCAAACAGAAGAAAGAAATAACTTTAATAGCTTTACTTTTGAATGAATAACTTTTCTAGCTTTAATAAGTATCAATTTATATTTAATTCATACAATGAAGACTATGCAGTAATTTATTTTTATATTTATTTAATTTCTGTTAAATAAACCTATTGTACCTGAAAATAAAATTTTTGGTTATATTGTATTTGTCTTATTGTTTGTCATTTGCTTCTTTGTTCTTATTTTTAATAACAAAAATATATTGATTGTATATTTTACCATGAAATAAAATTTCTTATAACATAAAATAAGATTTTGGTCATAAATCGCTCCCACCCCTAACACCAATTGTAGTCTTGAGTATTCTTCCCAAAAACAAAACAAAATGAAGACTTCCACATCCTGAGGACCATGTTTATTGATGTGTTTCTGCATCTTCCTACAGATCTGTATAAAGGGAAAGATCCATATATTTAAATATCTGAACATGGAGGCATGTAAAGCAGCATCAGACCTTCCAGACTACGACAGAAGACCACTGCCCTTTGGATCCTGGTGAGAACGTACTTCATTTCGCAGGGTTTTGTAAGGCATAATGTGGATCAAACTTTGATGTGCTCCCTGGCTTTCACTCGCACCCACATCCAATTTGAGCCAGTGTTTATCGGCTGTATCTCTCGGAGGACACACAGAGCAGGGTGATTTTGCAGATAAGAAGGGAGGGGAAGGAAAAGACAGAGACTGAATGAAAGATTGTAATGATTGTAATGAAGGTATGAAAAGAGGAGAGATTGCAGAAACACCAGATACGATTGCTAATTTTGTTGAGAAGAGGTCTGAGGTTATTTTTATTTTTTTTGAGTAATCAGACAATTGTTTGCTCTGTTGCAATAAAAGTCAAATATAAAAATATAAAATAAAATAAAAGGAAAAAAAAAATCTCATAGACTTCCACTAAAGGAGGGACCCAAGCCATATCTAGACACCAGAAGATCACAGAGACTTTAGAATAGGCTTCTTTGATTTGGGCCATTAAGAAACCACCCACAACTATCAGATTATTTTTTGCTTTTTGGAATTTAAATAATAAAACAAAACCAAACAGACTTGGACTGAAAGAAGGACTCAAGGCTTTTATTTCAAGCCTAGAAAACAAAGTTCACAGAGATTAGAGAGTGGGCTTCTTTCATTTGGGCCGTGTTTAAAAACCACTTAAGCAACTCCCTGGTAAACACCACTCACATTGTCTACAGAAATTGTCAAATATTGTGAAATGTTTACTTTATTTTATCTCTTGTAGGGTGATATGTGTGTTAGAAATGAGTTGCTTATTAAAGTTATTTCAGACATTTAGTAGACTATTTCTATGCGTTTGTTCCTCATGAAGCAATATGATGATATGATGTTGTCTCTGGTCTGTCTCCTCTCAGTGTAGAGGATTTGTATTCTGGTCGGCCATATGGAGCTCTGGACTCTGGGTTTAACAGTGTGGACAGCGGAGACAAGAGGTGGTCAGGAAATGAGGCAAGTGCTTTTCAGGTCACTCAATCAAGAATCCAATCTATCCAACTCCATTATGTATTGCTCATTTTATTTTATTTTTTAATTAAATCTGTTTTGCCTTTTCCCCCCATCTATCCCTTATTAAAGCCTTCAGACGAGTTGTCAGACTTGCCTTTGAGAGTGGCAGAAATCACCAAAGAGCAAAGACAGAGACGAGAACGAGAACGCGAGGATCATCGGACGGGGTCTCACGTGACCAATGGCACTAGTGAGATGACATTTACATTTATGAAATGGACTCTAAACTCTAATGATAAGCCACGAGAAGCTGTGTATTACAATTATTTTGACCATGGTTAAGTGTATTTTAAGCACTTTTTGTCCCTCTCTGTAGTGGACGCAGAGCTTGAACAGATAGACTTCATTGACAGCTGTACAGGGGATGATGATGAGGAGGATGGGCGGAGCCGCAGAAGGGCGGAGCCAGTCAGCCTCAGCTCTCAGTTTATGGCCTACATTGAAAGACGAATCACCAGAGAGGTGCGTATTAGTATTTAATGGCTGATTCTGATTTGGTTGTTAGTTACCCCAGGGTTTATGATAGCTTTAACTTGTTTCTAGGGTTCACCTGTGAAGACCAGCCCATCCAGAGACTTAAGAACTGATGACCCAAGACGTCAAAACTCCTTAAATAACCGGTACTGAACAAATTACACTGTCATAACAATATATATATATATATATTTGTATTAAATGATTACATGTATACAATTTTATATATAATACTATAAAATAAATTATAATATTAAATAAGTTGTGTACATGTAATCATATAATACAAATAACATAAAAAGTTAGGCAAAAAAACAGTTATACACACTAATTATACTGAAAGGAAAAGTAACATAAAAGGGGCAAAAAGTACATAAAATAAAATATAAAAACTAAAATAAAAAGAATAGTCATCTGTGTTGTCACTAACAGTTGTTGTTCTCTCTTCAGCGGTGGTTCAGATACAGCGGTCACGTCTTCATACGCTCATAACCAGGTAAGACTCGCTGTATATACATGCCTCATGATGCAGTAAATCAAAACATAGTGGTTTCACTCTGGTTCTGTCTATCAGCGGTCTGCTGGTGTGGCGTCAGGTTCTGGTGGCGGTGTGGAGAAAGTGAGACGAGAAGCTCAGCTGGCGGCACAGCGGTACGAGGAAGAGAGACAGAAAAGATCAGTGCAAAGAGATGCCGTTATGAATTACACTAAGGTACTCGTGCACACACACACACACACACACACACACACACACACACACACGCAATTTGCTATAATTGTATTTGCCAAATAGAGGGCTGCAGTGAAGACACATTTTTGTAGGTTGTCATTTAGCATCATCCTGGTTTCCTCGACAAAATCCCAATAGGATTTTGCCATTGGCTTTTGGATTATTGCAATAAATAAGGTCTGTGACAAACAAGTTTTATTCATCATGATAATCACAAGTGAACACATTATGATTATGAATTTAAGTCTAAATACAATCGCCAGAAGTAAAAAGTTAAAGGTAGTCTATAAATGAACTACACAACTTTGGGTTAGCTCACCCAAAAATTGTGTCATAATTTACTCACCCTCACGTTATTCCAAACCCGTAAGACTTTCTCTCAACTTCAAAACAAAAATGTTTGAACTAAGGTTCATTCAAACATTGAGGTTCATTCTTGTGTGTTATGCAGCACGTTTGAGCTTCCACAAGAACCAATGAGGTTTGTTGTCACGCGTCAAGCAAGTACAGTTGAGCTTCTGTTTATGTTCGCTGATCAATGTTTATATGTGAAGAAAAGCCTAAATTTAAGGGTGCTCCGATTGATCGGTCGCCGATCATAATCGGCCGATAATTGCTTTGGGATGTGTGATCGGCGGTCTCTATAAAGGCCGATCCAGAAAAGCCGATCAGATGACGCAAAACTCGCGAGACAATTTTTTTTACGCCTGGTAAAAATGGCTTCACCGGTCTGGCAATTCTACAACAGGGCTCTCAAGTGTCAAGCATTGAGCGTGACAGTCACTCATTTCGGTCTTTTGTCACGCTCTCCCGCCACACATTGTATTTCTCACGCTGAAAAACTATTTGTAATATATTTAATATGCCGCAGCGGCCAAAACTCTGGCCGCGCCGCTCTCACTGTGGAACCGGCATGCATCAAGCGCGTTTCCTCTGGTGTTGTTAGTCGAGCTACACAATAGCCAATCAGAAAATAGCACTATTGTATCTGAGTAAGATTTAACGCAACAACCAATGACAAAAATGTATCCAACCCCCACCGCCCACCCCCCGTGCGTCCGTCAAATCACTCGTACATATTTTTTTCTCTCATCAAAACTGAATATGTTCATCAGCGGTTACAGTTATATCAAGCAAGGATACTTTAGTGTTTTATTTTGTGATTACACCGGAATGAATAGAGTCCGCAACAGCGATAGATTGAAGCGCGCGTCCGAGTGAAGACTGCGCGAGGCACAGAGCACTGTATCCATGCAACTGATCGCCGCGGCAACGAGCGCGCACCTTGAGTTCAAAAACACATAGCGCTAGATTTCTTATTTAATAGCGAACTAAATTAATGATCTGCTAGTTAACTGAAGATGTTTTATTTATTTATATTAGGTACATGGTGGGACAGACTTCACTGGATCTAAAAAAAAAATCAATCTAACCATAGATGTGACCAGTGGTGGCTTTCTTAATCTGTTTAAAATAATTTTGCAAGGGTTCTTCACACACACACACACACACACACACACACACACACACACACACACACACACACACACACACACACACACACACACACACACACACACACACACAAAAGGTTTCTCTACCTCTCTCTTCCTCTCTAAATGCCTACAAAATCTGACTAAGCATCCCAGAAAAAAGCCAAGTTATAGATACAGATATGGAAGTTGTTAGTTTTTGTTTTGTTTTGTTTTTTGTTGTTGTGCACTTTACTACCTGTGGTCCTTTAAGTGTATTAGAAAAACTGATGGCTGACTGACTCAAAACATTATTTTGGCTATAGCCTTTTTTGTTGCTGTTTTTAGTTTAAAGTAGTCTAAAGCTAAATTTAAAGACTCAGATGTTCTGTCTTTTATTAAGTTTATTTTATATTCTACAGGAAAGTTGTATGTCAAGCCCTAAGCTGCTCCCAATAACCAAGCTGCTATGTTAATACATGTTGCTTGCAAATAAATACACAGGTGTCAATTCATTATGCATTGTCTTCTCTTAAATGTAATACTTAATGTACATTGTTGTTAAATATAGTTTAATAAGTAATGCTACATGATAAAAAGAAGTCTTCAAATAGACCCTGTAATCGGTTATCGGTATCGGGTGGTACAGCTTCCAGTAATCGGCGATCGGTGATCGGCCCCAAATATCCTGATCGGAGCACCCCTACCTAAATTCAATCATATGAAGCGATCAATCTTTTCTTAAAATTTGGACTAAACCTCTCAATCCATAATGGATTAGTTTAACAATCTCTTTAATATGAACTTTTTTGAAGTGACAAAGGTAGTTGTGTGTACTGTCAATGGAGGGACATTTTTCATTTTTGAGTGAACTAACCCTAAAAGTTTCTGACAACTTTCAGTCTTCATTTAAAAACATTTTCCCTGAAAGTTTGAGTTTAAATGGTTTGCAAAAGCAGTCGTATAAACACAATGAGGCTGTGAAGGCAGTTCAACGTGATGTTTAATGTCCCAGACAACCTCTGTAGTCACATTTAGCAACATGTTAGCAACCGCTTTTTCAAGACCAGCTTTAAAAGAAATCATAAGAAGGTTTTACTGATGTATTTTATGCTGTAGAGTAAAACGTGAAAATATCTTGAGCTTGTGTTGACCACTGTAACTTACGACTTTTCCCTGGCTTTGAAGGTCTAGGGAGTGGGAAGGGCAACATTAACTGTTTGGCAATATCTATTATTAAAACACTGGGAGAGGGGGAAAGGCAGAGCAGGTGAAATGTTATTTCTGAGTGCTATGATCAACAAAATGTGGAGAAGATTAAAGAAAAGAATTATTTAAAAGAAAATATTTAAAATGAAAATATCTATACACATTATTATTATAATAATTCAAATACACAGAGTCTGGGGAGGACAAAAGGAACTGGACAGTGCCAAAGCAAAAAAAACAACAAAATAAAACAAAATCTTTTTAGCCCGTTTTAACTTAACCGGTCTATTAAAAAAGAAAAGGTAGAACGAAAAATCTTCAACGTCCAAGATGTCGTATCTACCATACACTAACTACCAAACCAAAAATACAGCAGGTGGCGCATGTCCCTTACCTGGTGTATTTATACAGAAATATGTCACATGACATTACTTGCCTGTCCCTTTTCCTCCATCCAGCACAAGCACAATGATAATGCTTTCAACAACACAAGAATGAAGGTACCAAAATAGGGTACCAAGATAATGTTGGTTCACATGGTTACAGAAACACACTGACAAAACAAACACAGAGTGCACAGTCACAGCTCAAGTCTATATGAAAGCAAGTCTCTATTTCTGCGTTGAGGTGTCCTTTTTATAGTTTCCCTGGCTTCCGGTGGCGAAACATTCACAAATCACCATTTGACGTCAGCACGCTCAACTTCCCCTCTCGGATGATTAACAACAGCGGGAACCAATCAGCAAAGTGAAAGTAAAAACCGTGAGCTGCAGAGAAAAAGAACACCAAACAACACATCCAAACGTCTTTGAGACAACCACAGACCTTATTTCACAGGCATTCAAAAAACCCATTGACTTCAGGGCGATGGAACTCGTTTCCAAGTTTTGGCCAAGGAAAATACTATTTGCAAAATTTTATAAGCCTAAAACAAAACTTTTTGAACAAAAATACATCATCCCTGCAGCAATCTATAGCTATTAAATACTGTTTTAGGGCTGCTAAAAATTTTCCAGTAGTCAACACAATTCAATATTAGTATAATAAAAGTTGCAGCAATAATATCAAATAATGTTGGATTTGAAAAAGAAACATTAACATTGAGATACATGGAGATGCTCTGATGGGTGAAATGATCTGAAGCATCCAAATCCCAGTTGAAAACACCCAAATTATGCACCATGCCACCATGATGGGAAGACAATTTTCTGTCTTTGTACTTTCAGCATAAATCAACTCCGAGCCCTACGAAGCTCAGTCCAACAGACAGTGAGGTGAGTCTTATCCTCAGATTTGCACATTCACTTCCTCCCTATCCATCACCATCAGTGTGTGTGTGTGTGTGTGTGTGTGTGTGTGAGAGAGAGAGTCTGTAGTCATATGCATTACTGTCCCACCCCAGAGTCTGTACCCCTCCCGACGGTCCACTCACACCGATGACTCCGCCCTCTTCATGGTAAGAGCCAATCAGCTCGGATCATGCACCATCCTCCATCTCCTTTCTCACTGTGTGTTCTCGTTCCCTTAACAAATGTCAGTATGTCTTTAGAACTTAGCATAATGTATTAACACGATTTAAGGTTATTTCCATTTAAAGCTGCTTTTCTGATCAGTTTGAACTGCTAACATGTTTTGAAGGTGCACTCAGTAATTAGTTTAATAAGTTTTACCCATAAAAAAATGAATCACATTTTATATATATAGTAATCACATTATATCTTGTATTTGATAGTTATTGGCACTTACTTACTGATTACTTACTTACTGATAAATACTGATTATTTACTTACTGATTGCACCTTTAATATTAGATGCTTTTCCTAGTGTGCATCTTTAATACGCTTGCCCTGCTTCTTTTTGCTTCCCTGTCTGTCCCTTTACTTTCCTCTCTCTCTCTCTCACTCTCTCTCTCTCTCTCTCTCTCTCTCTCTCTCCTCTCTCCTCTCTCTCTCTCTCTCTCCTCTCTCTCTCTTCTCTCTCTCTCTCTCTCTCTCTCTCTCTCTCTCTCTCTCTCTCTCTCTCATCTCTCTCTCTCTCTCATATGTTGGTTCTGTCTTTGTCAGAGTGAGTTTGAGCCTCTATTGATATTTGAGATAGACACAGATACCAACACTATAAAGAAGAGGCCAGACCCTCACAAACAGGTGAAGGAGACACACAGACACGTTTATCTGCTGTCAAAATGGGGACTTAGCAAACACAACTAACAAAAACAACTTATGCTAAATCAAGCATCACAATTAGTATTGATTACAATTAGGGTTAGGGAAATGAATGAACCCTGAAATATTTGTATTTAACTGTTGCATGTTGCAAAACTTCTCAGTTTCATTAGTACATTTTAAATAATATATAATAAATAATATTTAATTGCTTGTTTGGAGCCTGCAGATGATCTGCCTCCATTATTTTATTTCTGTAGATGCAAATAAGCTTATTGTGGCTGTTTCTTGACCATTTTACTCTCAAAACATGTATTAAACGTTAATATTAATTTATATTAATGTGTTCATATTTATTTATTATATTTTTATAAAGCTGACTCCTTCAAGAAAACATTCAGCATTTTTTGAATAAATTAAACCTTATTTAAGGCATTACTGCTGTAATATTTCCTCTTCATGATATGTTCCCTGCAGTATTTTCAGTAATAAACAATGAAATCTGACGCTTCCAAAACACTTACACTTTCTCAAACCTTCTATTTATTTCTACGTTCGTCCTTTATTATTCTCTCCTTTCGTTTCATTTCTATCCTCTCCTCATTTCTTTGTGGTTGGCTAGTCTCTCTCTGCTGTGCCGCTGGATGGGTGTGTGTCTCCCGCTTTATCCGTCGCCCCCCTCCTGTACGCCGCAGGTACTGAACCGCAAGAGCCTGGAGAAGATCGGCCTCTAGATGCAAATAAGCTGACTGTGGATGTTTCTTGAAAATTTTACTCTCAAAAATTCACTACACAGAGATATTGTGGTTGCACTCAGATCTAACACCCTGTCATATCCAGGCAGAATGAATATGACAAGTTTCATTGAGGAAATTATGCTGGAAACCTGTCACGTCCTGCATGTTTAGGATTTCAGCTGATTCATGTACATATTTATTTAGGGTTTGGAAGTTCTCACATTAAAAACGTTATATAAAGTGAGTTCACCTGTGGGCGAATCTTACAAAAACTGCCAAGAGATATTGGCTACTTATTTCTTTTTGAGATTCACACCTAGAGTTCACTTTAAAGCGCATGCCACAGATACAGTGTTCATTATCTGATATTTCAACTCATTTGACCTTTTTCACTTCTTATTTTCTCTCCAATTGAACTCCTGTCTTCGGTAGCAAGGTGAAGATTATGCCTCCCTGTCACCCACTGGTATGTATTCGTTTAAATCATGAACTCCTCTCATTCTCTCTTTCCTTACTGCTGTTTTTTATTTATTTTAATTCTTTGCCCCACATCCCTTTTTGACAATGTTTTGCTTGTCTTGCAGCCCTCCAGTCACCCACTTACCCCAGCCCCGCTGCCCCGTCCCCCTCCCGCGGCCTCAACCAGCGACCTGAGAGTTACTTGTTCCGCCTGAGTCAGCGAGAGGAGAAAAAAAAAGGTTTGTTTACCTTATGCAGCTCATTGCTTCTTTGTGGGAAATTTGTGATGTCATGATTAATCATGATTCATATATGGTACCGTTCAAAAGTTTGGGGGTCGGTAAGATTAGTTTTTTAAAAGTCTCTACTGCTCACCAAGGCTGCATTTATTTGATCAAAAATACAGCAAAAACAGTAATATTGTGAAATATTATTACAATATAAAATAACTGTTTTCTATTTTGATATATTTTAAAATGTAATTTATTCCTGTGATGCAAAGCTGAATTTTCAGCATCATTACTCCAGTCTTCAGTGTCACATGATCCTTCAGAAATCATTCTAATATGCTGATTTGCTGCTAAAAAAAAACATTTATTATTAATTAATATTTAAAAAAAACTGTTGTACTGCTTAATATTGTGGAAACCATGATACATTTTTATTTCAGGATCATTTGATGAATAGAAAGTTCAAAAGAACAGCATTTATTTGAAATATAATATTTTTTTTATAACATTATAAATGTCTTTTCTGTCATTTATGATCAATTTAATGCTTCCTTGCTGAATAAAAAGTATTACTTTCTTTCAAAAAGAAAGTTAATTTAGTTCCCCCAAAAGGCGTTCCTAGAACTGAAATCGTTCCCAGTTCCTGCGGTCCAAACACACGCCAAAAAGTTCTAGTAGTTCTGGGGGTACTATGAAAAGGTTCCTCCGGTGCAAAAGCCCCTGGTGTAAATTAAGTGCAAAAATCAGTGTCAGCCTAAATATTTGAATATTTTGTAATAAACCTCTGAACAAAATGTGTTTTATCAATTACTTGTAGTCAGTAGTTTTGTATATTAATGTTTAATCATTTGGTATCGTTGTTTCCTAACTCTCATGAAAGAATTTAAGTGCACAGTGTTGTACCTTTGCCGCCTTAATGTTTATTTTCATTTAAAAAAAATTGTGCTTTGAATCACATGTGGTGATATAGTTCATCTCAGAGCTGGATGGTTTGTCTTGAACTCTGCAGTAAAGGATTTTCTGAAATGCTTATGGAGAAAATATGAAAATCACTGAAAAGGTGGCAGTGTTGTCTTTAATTTAAAAAAGCTGAAATAAAATATAAATATTAGATGACCAACTTTAAAATAAAAATTAGAAATGTTGCATTGGCAACTAACTGAAAATAAGTTGAAGTACTAAAATGACTTAAACTGAAAGAAATGTAAATTAAATAAAAATAGAATTTATTTTTTAATTACAATACTAAAATTAAAAATGAAAAAAAAAATTAAAGCTATTTTAAAATCTGAATAAATACTATAATAGTATTTAAATATGAAAATTTCACTGAAGTAGGCAGTCACTGTTGTGCTCTTTTACAAGTCAATCAAATGACACGTCAATCATCGTTCCTAATTAGAACTTGCTCATGTAATTACGCAGTGACGCATTTCTACGTATGGCATGTGTGACCATTTTGCAGGAGAATCAGGTGCACAGAAGGAGGAGCCAGTGGAAGCCACTCCCACACAGAGTCCAGCCCCAACGGGAGAGGAGGCGCTACTGATAGAGCAGCTGAGAAGGGTGCGTCAAGCAAACTGCCTTAGTAGTACCCTCCTCTTCTTGTTATCCATTATTTATGTATCTATTGTTTCATATATGTATGCATGTGTGTGAACTGTGAATATATATATATATATATATATATATATATATATATATAAAAATATTAAACTCATTTATATTGTATTATGCTGTCCTGTTAAAGGTAGGGTATGGGATTTGCAAAACGGCTGGCAGATTTTGAAAATACACAACTCAAAAGGTCCTACTTTCTTTCCTCCAACGCTGGCCCTGACTCCACCCATTCGAAGAACATGGATGCGCAATCATGCATCTGCAAAACTCAGATGCGCGAGATTGCACTTTCTCTCTCTCTCTCTCTCTCTCTCTCTCTCTCTCTCTCTCTCTCTCTCTCTCTCTCTCTCTCTCTCTCTCTCTCTCTCTCTCTCTCTCTCTCTCTCTCTCTCTGTCTCTCTGTATCGGGGCGACTTGTACTTACTGTAACTGGGTCACGAGCTTTGAGTATGCGCACGAAGGGGACACGCGCGCGATGGGGGGATGGTACGACCGTTTGATTGACGCACTTACAGTCCAATGATTCTAGGTGGTCTTGGAAATGATTGGCTGGAGTTTTTCGAGTCCTGCCCGTTCCACAGATGATTAAATTGCTTAATTTTCATTTCAGTGCTTCTAACTCAGTGGCTGTAAGTGGGTTAGGAATAGGATTTCAAGTGATTTTGAAAAAAATGGTCCAAAAAGAAAATCACATACCCCACCTTTAAGCATATATAACTCAAATCAAAATATTACAAAACAAAATAAAAGTGTTGTCCTGCTGTAAGTCTAATTTGTCATCCTTCATGTAGAATATTGAGTGTCGACTCAAGGTGTCTTTACCCACTGATCTTGGGGCAGCTTTGACTGACGGGGTCGTGTTGTGCCATCTGGCCAACCACGTACGTCCCCGATCCATACCGAGCATCCACGTACCCTCACCGGCAGTGGTGAGTGACTTTTGGGCTTTATTTTGCTCATAACTTACTTTATACGTTTTTGTGTATGTTTGTGTTTGCGCATAGGAATACATAGTTTCATCTTTTCTTTTTCTTTCCAGCCCAAACTGACAATGGCCAAGTGTCGACGAAATGTGGAGAACTTCCTAGAGGCGTGCCGCAGAATCGGAGTTCCTCAGGTAGACTTGGTCTCCTACACTTCAAGCTATTTCCTTTTTCATGGAAAAAGAGTTTTTAATCTTTAAAAATCTAATTAAGAAATAGCTTCTCAAACACATGACGTTTAATGTTTTCTTCAAAACTAACTGGCTTTTAACATCTTTTGCTGTTTCCTCTAATGCTCTAGAAGTTTACGAGCTAATACCACTAACTCTTTCTCTCTCTCTCTCCCCCAATGCCCTTCCAATTTAAAACCATCTCACATCAACCACTCATTGTGTTTTATTTGAACACTCATGTTCATCTTCCTCCCTGCGGGCAGGATAGTTTGTGTTCGGCGGGCGACGTGCTGAAAGGGGAGGTTGTTTGTGTGTTCAGGCTGGTTGAGGCCTTGCTCTCCCTGGCACCGCCTCCTCTTCGCTCCGCCCCATCTTCCCAGCTGGCTGGATTCGCCCTTTTCTACCTGTCAATCATGTCGCTGCTATGTGTTCTCTACTGCCACCTGGTGCCAAGCTGTTAAATGACACTTCCATATTGATCACTGCACTAAAACAGTCAATTGTTGTTTTTTGTGCGCAAATGAGCAGATTTACACGATAGCCAGTGTTTATGCACACGTTTATAGTGTTCTATCTAGTGCACATCATTGATATTTTGCTAAGCTCTGTCTGACCCCTTTGTGTAATGTTGCTCGCTCAGGCAAGCTTTAAAATAACATTCATGCGAATTGCAGTAAAGCGTGCTCATAAGGTGGTTCAAATGGATTGAATGGTAGCCTATTACATGGACTGGAAATAATTGTGATTTATGCTAAATATTTGCATGTGCAATTTTCTTTAAAGACATTAAATTACCGTTCAAAAGATTGAGGTCGGTAAGATTTTTTAAATGTTTTTGAAATAAGTCTCTTATGCTCACCAAGGCTGCATTTATTTGATCGAATATACAGTAATATTGTTACAATATTAAGAGTATTACAATTTTAAAGAACTATTTTCTATGTGAATACATTTTAAAATGTAATGAATTTTCAGCATCATTACTCCAGTCTTCAGTGTCACATGATCCTTCAGAAATCATTCTAATATGCTGATTTGCTGCTCAAGAAACATTTCTTATTATTATCAATGTTGATTTATGGAATCGGAGTCAGATTGTGGTGTAATAATTTTTGTGCAAATTGTGATAAAATGTTTCAGGATTCTTTGATGAATAGAAAGCTCAAAAGAACAGCATTTTTTTAAATATAAATCTTTTTTTAACATTATAAACAGTGTTGGGGAAATTACTTTTAAAAGTAATGTTACAATATTGCGTTACTTCGCTAATTACGGTGCTTAGTTACATTTTATTGAAAGTAATGTTACGTTACTTTTGCTGTACTTTTTCTCAACTGGTTGTTCACCTTGCTTGTAAAAAAGTTCTATTTTTGGCAAATATAATGGTCTTTTTTACACCAAATGCAAATAAGCCTCAGACTGAAGGAAATGCAAATTCACACCTGTACAGTAGAGGGCACAGCTCAACAAACCTTTCAGCTTTGCTGCCATTCTGTAACTTGCGTTACTTCTATTTTGTTATAAATTTAAAAGTATTATTTTACTAGTTACTTGAAAAAAGAAATCCGATTACGTAACTCGTTTCTTGTAATGTGTTACCCCCCCCAACACTGATTGTAAATGTCATTACTGTCACTTTTGATCAATTTAATGCATCCTTTTTTTGAAAAATCTTACTGACACCAAATTTGTGGACACTAGTGTACATTATCACAGATAACTGAAAAGACGAACGCCACATTTCATGGTTGATAAATGGCAATAGTTGCTAAGGTGTGGTCAGTGACTTTCTAAGGCAGGGCTTAGCAAAGAGTCAATTGAGAGTGTTTATATGTCTGTGTGTGTGTGTGTGTGTGTAGAGGGCACATTTCCATAGCAAAATTCAAAGCTTCATCAAAAAGCACAAAAATGGGTGGATTCCCCCATTCAGCCTTAAAAAAGACGACAGAACAAGCTGACTGCTCTGTGAACGAGCCCTTTGTATGTTAGCCCTTCGTATGCACATTTTCCCAAAGTCTGCTAAAGTGGATGAGTATTTTGTGTGGCTTTGTGTTTCTGTGAGGGTTTCCGGGAATGAATAAGACAGTGTGGACTGGAGGATGCCAAACCTTAAACCCCCCGTTTGATCCCTTTGTGCCTTACTGTGTGTATGTCAATGTCTTCCATCTCACAGTTAACACAATAGTTCTCCAAAAATAACATTTACTCACATTTATGTCATTCCAAACCTGTATGAGTTGCTTTCTACCATGAAGCACAGGAGGAGAAATTTTGCATATTGTCTGAGCTGCTCTTTTCCATACAAACGTGAAGGGGCGGGAGCCTTTAAGAACCAAAAATGACAAGGCAAGGGCACCATAGAACATCCTACCTTTATTGCATATTAAAAAGATAGATCACTTAAAGCTGCAGTCTGTAGCTTTTTTTGGGTTAAAAATGATTCAAAATACATATTTGAGAAAATACATAACCCGCCAGTGTTCAAAACTATCTGCTTGCCTTAGCTCGATTCAAAGCGGTAAGCTTGTAATAATGTTTTTAATTCCAGTGGTACTGGTGTATTTCCGCGGGAGATTCGAGCATGTCTTTGCGTCATTACGTCACATCTGTACACATAAAGAAGGAGTCTCGGCTAGTATAAGCTATATTGCGTGTGAGGATGCTGGAGGTGGAGATTTATAGCCTTTTCTCACAGCGCTTGATATGATTAAACTTATCAATTTGATGGCGGATCCAGAAAGGTGCAAACGACAATCACCAGTGACAACTGGAGACTCACCCGCTGTACAATGCAAAAGACTTCGTTCGGACTTCGGAGTGGCTACAGAAAAAAAGAGACTGCAACCGGACCCATGCGAAAGCACGGATAATATCAGAAGGACATTACATGTAGTCACGCAATGCTGACGTTGTTAACATTAACAATTTGAGAACAAAGTATAATTTGCACGGTTTTGCGTGATATGATAACTTATAAGCGATTGTTAGATTTAATCAGCGCGATTTAGTGCAATGTCAGAACCAGAACAAAGGTGGATGTTTCTTACTAGTTCAGATGACATTTTCCGGTGAAAATTCTTATGTTGGTCACATGTCCAAAAAGAATAATCTGTGATTCTGAATGCCCACATCTGGATATCCACATCGGCGCGGTGACTGTCAGCCTCACAGTCTCCTCAAACATTGTGTTCATCCGCGCTGTGCCGTGTCGAGGATGTTGAAGTACAACTCACGTAAAGTTGATAATTCCGCGAATGACTGCAATTGCAGATTTCGAACAGAGATGGCGACAAAGAGGAAAAACGCCGGACTGCAGCTTTAAAAATGAAAATTAAGTCATTATTTACTCACCCTGGTGTTGTTCTAATGCCATATGCCTTTCTTCCTTTTTCAGACCACAAAAGGGGATGTCAAAAATGTCCTTATAATGATAGCCCTATCGTATACCCAGGGCACTTGGAATATACGACACATGTTGAATAGGATCTTTCTGTGATATTTTTGCATCTTTTTTCAAAGCTTGATACAGGACATTTTTCTTTTAAATTCTCCTTTTGTGGTCTGAAAAAGAAAGAAGGGCATATGATATTAAAACAACACCAGGGTGAGTAAATGACTTGATTTAGATTTTTAAGTGAACTATCCCTTTAAGTAATATAGTGCATGTCATATCAACTACTGAAATGAGATGTACTTTTTTGAAGCCTGGCAGTCCCTGACCTAATTTATTTTCGTTCATATACCTTTCAATAATATATAAATAAATTTGGAGTCATTTGTGTATAAAATGGACTTTTCCCAAAACTCTCCTCTGGATTCACAAACGCTTTGTAGACTTCAGATTTGAGATTTGCGTATGTTAATAAATTCCAATCATTTGTAACTAGGCTGCTCGTTCACAATTAGCATAATCCCGCCTAAAAATTACAAATAAGTGAATTGCGTGTACTGGAATGCTGTGGGAACTTCTGGACTACCTTTTCAGGTTTGGTTCCAATATAGTACATAAATGCAAAAGGAATTATTTGGCCACATGCCTGTAAAATTAAATGTTCTTGCAGGCAAATGCTACTGGTGCACAAAATCATTGGAATATGATAGAGGAAAATGGACTTCCGCAGTTTATCAATCAAATGTATTTTTACATGTGACTAATTGGTTAAAAAAAATTGTGTAATAATATTACAATTGTAATATTGTATTTTTGTTGTAATATTAATAAATGGCAAACAGTGTTATGAAATTGCAGTGTATTCAGTTTGTTAAAAAAATTAAATAAAAGTATAATCTTTTCATATGATTACAAACACTTTCATGAATCTGAAAGTTACGTCAGAAGGGCTTTACGAATTATTTGCGCAAAAATTATGTTTCAATGAATGTTCTCACATTATGTGGAAAAGAGCAGCCACAACTTTCTGTTTAACATTTGCTTTTGTGAAGAAAGTAAATCATACATTTGAAATGACTTAGATAAAATAATCTGACTTAAATAATGTTTTTGGCTGAACTAACCCTTTAAATGGCTAGAAAACATCTCGCTATCCGCTCTTAACGCTACAGTTATCAAGCATCTTGTCATTCTTGCACCAGAACACCGTTTACTCACTAAAATAACAGTCCTTGTCAACCAGTATACCTGTCGTTAATTAATATACAGTGTAATATAATCCTAACACGCATAGGAAATACAACACCGGTCACATAGAGTGTGTAAGCGTTGGTGTCTGTCAGATTTGTGTGCCATGTTGCCTGATTTTCCTACAGTCTGACTTGTCCTCCTCTGCTTTTCTACAATAAAATCTAAACTCAAGTATCCACTGACTGTAGATGTGTGTTTTATCAGTAGTTTAGTTGTGTGTTTGTGAGTCGCAGCTTTATGTTGGGTAGTGTGGTACTGCAGTGGTAAATGCTTGGCTGGCATGTTCTGGATTGTCTAGCATGTGAAAATAAGTCCGATTGCTTATACAGTACTGGATTTTAAAGACTTTTATGCCCACCAAGGCTGCATTTATTTGATCGAAAAGACCGTAAAAACAGTGAAATATCATTACAGTTTAAAATGGCTGTTTTCTATTTGAATAGATTTTCAAATGTGATTTATTCCTGTGACGCAAAGCTGAATTTTCAGCATCATTACTCCAGTCTTCAGTCGATTTCTTATTATCAATTCAAACAATGCTGCTTAATATTATTGTGGACACGGTGATACACTACCGCTCAAGTTTTGGGGTCAGTAAGATAAAAAAAATATATATATACACTCACCGGCCACTTTATTAGGTACACCTGTCCAACTGCTCATTAACACTTAATTTCTAAGCAGCCAATCACATGGCGGCAACTCAGTGCATTTAGGCATGTAGACATGGTCAAGACAATCTCCTGCAGTTCAAACCAAGCATCAGTATGGGGAAGAAAGTTGATTTGAGTGACTTTGAACGTGGCATGATTGTTGGTGCCAGAAGGGCTGGTCTGAGTATTTCAGAAACTGCTAATCTACTGGGATTTTCACGCACAACCATCTCTAGGGTTTACAGAGAATGGTCCGAAAAAGAAAAAACATCCAG